GCACAGATCAGCAGTAAACACTAAACAATGGCACAGATCAGTAGAAGATACTAGACATTGACATAGATCAGCAGTAGACACTTAACAATGGCACAGATCAGTAGAAGATACTAGACAATGACATAGATCAGCAGTAGACACTAAACAATGGCACAGATCAGTAGAAGATACTAGACATTGACATAGATCAGCAGTAGACACTAAACAATGGCACAGATCAGTAGAAGATACTAGACATTGACATAGATCAGCAGTAGACACTAAACAATGGCACAGATCAGTAGAAGATACTAGACAATGGCACAGATCAGCAGTAGACACTAAACACAGACACAGATCAATGGTAGACACAAAACACACATCACTGACAGACAACATACATGAGTACAGATCAGTGGCAGAGACTAGACACATATCATTGACAGACAATATACGTGAGTACAGATCAGTGGCAGAGACTAGACACATGTATATCATTGACAGACAATATACCCGAGTACAGATCAGTGGCAGACACTAGACACATATCATTGACAGACAACATACACGAGTACAGATCAGTGGCAGACACTAGACGCATATCTTTGTCAGACAATATACATGAGTCAGAGTCCAGATCAGTGGCAGAAGACTATACACAGATCAGTGGTAGACATTAGACACCGGCACAGGTCAGTTATGAACATGGATTAATATTTTTTTCGTGTCATTTTTTATCTCACTGTTTATTTTAACCCTATTTGCAAGCATATAGTTAAAATCCCTCATATCTGCACCTTCACGTTCATCCTTATTGCCAGGTTCTTCATCGGCAGCGCAGTTCCAGGCCACGAATTACCGAAACTGTTTACGACACTTCGCCGGCCTAGCTGATGGCAGCCGACCATTCTACCCTGCGGCTCTGTTCCCATTTCTATCCCGCTCACTCCCAAACGACTGTCATGCCACGGAGCGTCCTGGCATCGTGCCCGCACCGGTTCCAAACCAGGAGCTCATCCCACTTCCAGTCTTCCCTGCCGTGAAAGTGAATTACATCAGCGCACGATCAGACGGCGTGCAACGTGATAGAGTCCCTTTCTATGCGACTTCTATCATATAGCTCTTCAAAGTGAAGACTGCTTGGGCAGCGCGTAAACAACATGACACTCATGCCCGCGTTACCGCTACCAGGTGTCAGCACAGACAATGCCGCTCTCGTCGAGACCTCGGCGGATGTTTGCCCTGTCATCGACAACGGCCACTTATCTCACCGCACTCCGACTCCAAATATAGCCTCCATTGTATCTCATTACAGAAAAGCGAGCGTGACCCTCCGCAGCAACGGTGACACTCAGCCGGCGCTGGCGGCCATGTCGTAATGAAGGGTGCCGTGGTTGATGAGATGTCGGCTAACGTCTCGTATTACCCGATTCTTTTTTCTCCGCCTTACAAAAGTTATCTCTCCAAGTTCGTCGGCGACAAAGAGACCATGGTAACCGAAGGCATGTCGCGTTTTTTTACGAGGTGGTGCCGCGGTGCGATCGGCCGACCCTGCTCGGTGATCTCTCGCCGGGATCCTGAGACGAGCAAAAGACGAAAAAATTCCGCTCGACGCAGAGAATGTGCAGCGTCGGCGCTGCGCAAAAGAGCGTGTGAGACACAGTTCAAGGTCAGTCAGCCAATAGTTTTTTTTAACAGGAATTCTTTCGCGCGACAAAAGACGAAAAAAACTGGTTTAGCACATTAGGCGCAGCGGTGGTCGGCTAGAAAGCCGCGGGTGTGTTAAAAAATCCATATTTACAAATGGCTTTCAGAGAGAGGTTGACTGCACATCCCAGTAAGTGACAGCTGCGAATTAAGTCCCCATTAAAGGTCGTAGCATGTAATGTGGTGGCGGGTCAGAGAAAGGCCACGCAGACCAACGGTCTCACAAAGTGGGCACATTTTCTACGACAAAGGTCTCCGGGGTGGGAATCTGTGGGTGGGCGTCTGGAACCCAGGATGATCATCATCTGAAATGTCTGACTGGCAAGAAAGAGATGACTCAAGCGAGCCAGGCCAGGAATGTGAGCAACAGCTCCACCCGTAACACCAAAACAGACCACCTGCCGGTGGTGACATTGCTGGTGACATTGCTAGTGACACTGCCTGTGACATTGCAAGTGACACTGCCTGTGAGATTGCCAGTGACACTGCCTGTGACAATGCCGGTTGACACTGCTGGTGACACTGCCGGTTAACACTGCTGGTGACACTGCCGGTGACACTGCTGGTGACACTGCTGGTGACACTGCCGGTTAACACTGCCGGTGACACTGCTGGTGACACTGCCGGTTAACACTGCCGGTGACACTGCTGGTGACACTGCCGGTTAACACTGCCGGTGACAATGCCAGTGACACTGGCGGTCAACACTGCCGGTGACAATGCCAGTGACACTGGCGGTCAACACTGCTGGTGACAATGCCGGTAACAGGTGACACTATCATGTCTGAATCGGACTGTTACCTGTGAGCTCCTGCGCTGTGTGACGATGGAGGCCAGAGACTCGCGCGTCTTCTTGCTCGGAGTCGACACCGTTCCCGCCTTCTTGTTCGGCGACTTTCCGGGAGTCTTCGTCGGAGCCCCCTTCACAAACGTATTCCCCAGGATCGTTCCGGGAGACTTGCCTGCCGTTAACGACACCCTGGAAGCAACAAAGTTTCGTCACTGTGAACGCGATAACAACCAGATGTGCAGAATGATGGATAGTTTGTCTCATCGCATTAACAAATCCTTTGCACTAGTCTGTGCTACAATGGTTACTTATGATAATTTCTCCTCATTTCTTTGCATGCATGTTCAGATACAGCTGGTAGGGTATGGATCCTGCTTGTAGAGTACATGGATGTACTTTAGGTTAATGTAATTTAGGTTTTGTAGGTTACGGACAATGCCTCAACCAAATTCATCTGATCTCTTCCTTCTACAATGGCCCCTCATTGTGGGGCCCCCACTTCTGTGGAAACCATTAAGAATATTATACAAAAGATGATGAAAATTAATGGCAATTGAAAAGAGCTACTCATCCAAATGCGCTGGCAGTAAATGTACACTACTGCAAGTATAGATTTAGATGGACTATGAATAGGTTTCATTATTAGTAAAGTGTCGAGTTTTCATAAAACACACAGACAAAACACAGAAAAACAGACACGCACACCTGCATGCACACCTCATATGCATACACACACATACGTTAGTCATGCAAAATCTGCATAAGCAATATAAGAATTCAGACAACGTCTTAGACAACATACACCAAGCAAAGCGGCTCAACTTGCAAAAATATCAGTTTAGTAAAAACTAGGGTTACACTGCCACGGCCGTATGCAATCCTACTGAGTACTAGTTTATTCAAATATTATTATGATACGAGGTCACAATTAGCTGAGAAATGTTAATACCAGGTTATTGGTATATATCAATTCAGGTTAATACATGAATGTCTGCTTAGCTGAAACTTTATGTGCACGCTGTATGTAAATGACACACAGCTAGGTAAAACACGTAGGTAGCACACAATCATTTGCATAGAGTACATCTTACCTTGGCTAACCCAAAGATAACTTATCAAGGGCATTAGGTGCGAGTGGAACATTAATAAGCTATTGCAGAGTTTATAACACACACACACACGCACACGCACACGCACATAAACTCACACAGGCCTGCCTACCTACTGAACTAAGAATCAGGCACAAACACTGGCAGCAGCAGCACTACCACCAGCAGCAGTAGTAGCAGAAGCAGCAGAAGCAGCAGCAGCAGCAGCAGCAGCAGCAGCAGCAACAGCAGCAGTAGTAGCAGCAGCAGTAACAGCAGCAGTAACAGCAGCAGTAGTATCAACAGTAGTATCAGCAGCAGCAGTAACCAGCAACAGCAGCAGTAATCAGCAGCAGCATCAGCGCCTAGCAGCAGCAACATCAGCACCATGACATTGCCCATTGTAGGTACACCTACCACCAAAAATACCAACCACCCACCACGACACCAGCAGCAGTAACATTAGCAGATTTACATCTCCTTAACCCACTATAAGGGGGGGGGTAGGGAAGTTAATGCAATTAGGTTAACATTTTACATTACGTAAAAGAGAGTACCACCCACAACGGTGGCAGGAGCAGCAGCATACTGGCCCAGACCTTGCCCACTGTAGATACACTTACTTTCCCCCCAAAGAAAACACCAACCACTCACCACGACAACAGCATCAGTAACACTAACAGTAGCAAATTTACATGTTCTTTACTCACTATGGGGGGAGTGTAGGTAAGTAAATAAAAAAAAGTATAAAATTCATATGATTTCATTATTTAAAAGAGAGTACCCCCCATCAGCCCCGAGAGCAACAGCAGCAGCAGTAGCAGCATCAGCAACAAGAACAACAGCAGCAGCAGTAGTAGCAGCAGTGACAAGAACAACAGCAGCAGCAGTAGTAGCAGCAGCAACAAGAACAACAGCAGCAGCAGTAGTAGCAGCAGCGACAAGAACAACAGCAGCAGCAGTAGTAGCAGCAGCAACAAGAACAACAGCAGCAGCAGTAGTAGCAGCATGCTGCTGCTGCTACTACTGCTACTTCTGTGGTTGCTCCTGTTGCTGCTGCTGCTGCTGCTGCTGCTGCTGCTGCTACTACTACTACTACTCCTGCTGCTGTTACTTTTGCTGCTGCTCCTGTTACTGCTGCTGCTGCTGGTGCTGCCGCCACCGCTGCTATTGTCGCGGAACAGCAGAAGTAGCAGCAAGTAGCGGGAGCAGCAGGAACAGCAGCAGGAGCAGCAGGAGCAGCAGGAACAGCAGTAGCAGTAACAGCAGCAAGAGCAGCAGTAGCAGGAGCAGCAGGAGCAGCAGGAGCAGCAGTAGCAGCAGCAGTAGTACTAACAGCATCAGCCGGCAGCGTTTCCGCCCGCGTTCACCACTGCCAAACACGCCACCCACCAAGTGCCAGCCATGGCATACATGGCAGCTAGCTGCGTGTGCTTGCACAGACTCGCATGAGACAGCCTTCCCTCTCTCTCCCTCCCGAGCGTCAGCGCGTTAACCAGACTACGTAACGAGGCCAGCGACACGCGTTCAAGTCAAATAGCACAGCGCTGACGCGAAGATGACCAGCGATTATCTGCACTCTGCTAACGTCATCAGAGTAAGCATTAGGTGGACTAAACGTACCTTCGGCACGTAATTGGAATGAAGGACTGGTACACTGCCGGTTAGCTACTCCTGAATGGGCTGCTCGGCCAGTATGGATCCCCTTATATAGACTCCTATTGCAGGTAAACTCCCCCCTGGAATGGAACCCTGCTTTATTTTCCCCTGAAGAGAATGTTGGTGCACCACGCAGTTTTTATCACCTCTTCCACGTTAAATGTGACAATGGTCCATCAACGGCCATCTCTACCAGTATTTCACAAAGCATGGACGGTCAGGACAAAATTCTGTCACTGCCGGCATTACCATTTCTGATTATACCGCTTCGAGTGTAGAGAAAGGCTTGAACACGCGGTACCCCCATCCCCTTCTGATCTCTGGACAGCTTATTACACCCCGTGGGCTCAATTGTCGCGCCCGTTACATAGCCGCGTCTTACGCGCCAATGCTCGGATCGGGAAACGGAACTCAGTATGAACACTAATCCGCACTCAAGACAACACATTCCGTGTATGAAGCAATATCAGATGTACCTTACCGATCGCTTGCCACTAGTTATCAGACTACAAATAGGAAAGAAACAAAAGAGCAAATATTAGTGAAGCGCATGAATATGCCGCTAGAGCGCACGCATTTCATCGGGTTGCCGATTATCGCTCATTCTGAACGAAATCTGCACTCTTGTACGCATGCTAGTAGTTCATGCCAGTCGTTAAAATAAGAAGTATTTGCTGATATTCATGCTAGTAGTTAAACTGTAGTTAAATGCTAGTAGATATAATGGTGGCAGTTAATACTACTAGTCACTGCATTCCACAGCCGTCTATATGAGTATAGTTAACACTAATAGTTCATGCTAGTAGTTGATAGCAGCTGAAAAATAGATAGTTGATATATAGAAAAAAGTGACATTTCAATGAGAGAAATTTCTTAACATCAAGGACATTTAGAACATCGGATAGATATCTGGAACGCATCATTTAGAATGTCGTATTACATACACGCAAATATACACAAGGATACGATATGCAGTTTGGCTATGCACAGATCCTGTATCTGTACCTTTCTTTCTCCCCCTCTCTCTTCCCCTCGCTTCTTTCACCACTTTCCCCATCTCTGCCCCCTCTCTCACACACCTTTTCTCTCTCTCTCTCTCACTCGAAAAAGAAGAAGAAGAAGATAATGAGACAGCAATATTATTAAATGGTGATCTTTGGGAAAATTAAGCACGTTCTTTAAGAAGAATCTACTTGCCAATAACAACGTCGTTTAGATTTGAGTCTTAAAGAACCTATTAAGGCATGACCTGTCACTGTGTGGTAATCCATTCAAGAATGAATTTACCTTAAAAAAAACCTGGACTTATACAAGAAAAATAGCTGTCAAGGTAAAATCGGGTTTAAACACATCGACTAGATTGAAAGGCTTGAAAAATAAAGAAAGGAATATTTTGAGAAACAAGTTTAACAGCCATGGGCTTTTAGTATTTACTGACTTTTTAAACCAATTTGGGCCAACAAACTCACCACATTAAACCCTTTCTATAGAAAAATGTGAAAAAGGGTAAAGCACGCCCCAAAGCGATGTCTACACAAGATTGAGAAAAGAGTTCAAACGATCGCCGACTGCAAAATTATTGTAAAGAAAACGTTTCTGGGCAGACTTAAAAAAACAAGACTTTAAAAAAATCTCGGGAATTTTTCGAGTTGTATTCAAACTTGTTTGCCAAGATGTGCTGCTTGCTGACCATAAAGATTGCTTCCGGCACTTCAGCATCACATCAATGCCACACAACGGTGAGAAAACGTGATCCGACACATCTAATACTGCACCACGAGGGCGATAACTACACCTTACCTAGATGAGGCAACGACCGCTGCAGTCGCAACGACTGCGAGATCACGAGCGTAAACAAGTGCCGCAGTGCGACAGGGCTCATCTGGTGTCTGGTGTTCTGCTGATAAATTCATTTGTGCATAGCAAGACGTCTTATACGTAAGTCTTCTTTATTCTTGTTTGACTTTCGTAGCGAATTCGAACAAATATATCAGCTACACTTTTGCAACCACCTAATCTCTATGGGCTAATTCTATTAACAAGAACAACAATAACAATTCAAATACAAGTTAATGAATGAATGATGAATGAAAATAATGAATGACATTGACGTTGACATAAAAGATTTCAACATATGAGCATGGATCTCCAAGTTTAATTAGAAAGGGCGGGGCGGTCCTTCTCTTCCACCTCCCTCCCCACTGCGTCCCACCTCCCTCCCTCCTGCCTCTCACCTCCCTCCCCCTGCCTCCCACTTCACTCCCCTTGCCTCTCACTTCCACCCCTTACCTCCCGTGCCACGCACAACCTAATTGTACCCCGTTTCCCGCTCGCATACACACCGTATCACCGTTTTCCTGTCCCCGTCTCAATTTACTACTCTCTCTCTCTCTCTCTCTTAATTATATAAATTAAAAAAAAAACCAGCGATGATGCCTTTTACTGCCCCCCTCAATAATACTTCGTTCCTATGCCCCTGAGTGTAACAGCCATATAAATAATAATATATAGTGTCTCTAATATTTCTATGGTAACAGCTTATGTTCGCATAACTGGTAAATGGATACGCACGACCATAGCTACATGATATATGTTAAAGCAATTATTGCGAGAATTTTCCAGTGTTTTCACCACTTTCCTGACACCTACCGTTATTGCTTGAGTAACAGCAATTGTCTAGAGTAACAATAAAATGTCTTAGAACGTTCGTATTCACCAAAATCTGCCCGTTTCGAACTAGTTTCGTAAACATTCGTTTTCTGTTATCTTGAACTAGGAGGAAGTGTGGATTAGCTTATGGCGCCACCGCTTATCTGCCATAGACAAAGCATGGCTCTCTCAAATCATGCACTTGTTTTCAATTAATCACCGACACAAATACAAGTTTATCAATTCTGCCATTAGGCATTGTCGCGACACGATAAAATGCATTGCTGTTACGATGTGTTCATATCCAATTTTCTATGCTATAACTGCATAAAAACTTAGTATTTTTAATGTTGGTGTAATCAGTGATATTTTCGCTGTCAGGTGAAACTATATTCAGCTATATTTAGTTTTTCTGAGCAAAAATCTCGCAATAGTCATTTTAAGATTCAAGATGAAAAGTAAATATATATTATATGGTACTAGTTATTATTTATTCGTTTTAACAAAGTTACATGAGAATAAAATCTAATTTAAACTAGGCCTATAGTTGCCGCGAGATGGCACGTGCAAGTGTAATCAATAATCAAAGATGGCATGGCCCTTCTTGAGATACCCTAACTAGCTCCCTGGGGAGTTGCTGAAATCCTACAGGCTAAAATCCAAGTAAGTATATTCAGGCAGGTGATAATTTCGCTCAGCTGTGGGTTAACACATGTGCATTGCAGGTTGGCAGGCAACAATTATGATTAGAAGAGTGCCAGCCATGGGCTGCCCCGTGTTTTTGCCTACCCACGTGAGCATTCACTGATTCAGCCTTCAGGGTGCTATAGACAGACTGCTTTAGAAAATAATATGATTTAAGGAGCGTAAACCTTGTTCAACAAACATTTGCCTTTGCAATTAAACTGTGGAACTGTAGCCTCACATTCACACAGGTATGGGCTCTAATAATAGCAAAAGCAGTTCAGTCCTTTGTTAACAGTCAACAAATCAATGTTTAACCTTCCTCTTGAGGGTCAAAAGGTTATCCGACACTTACTCTTCGCATGTCAGCGGAAAGTACATTTCATGGTCCTTTCAATAAAGCCATAAAAATGGTAGGTCACCGGTGGAACAAATTTTTTTTTCAATCGCTCTGTCAGACCATGTCCTCAGAAAATGTCTAAAATCTGCCCTGTGCCCCATTGACCTTTGACCTGTGACCTCCAATTTCGGCACAGTGATGGCTTTCCTACCATGATACTATACACCGACTATCACGAGACTAGGTCGAGCCGTTTAGATTTGTGCCGCAATTCTGCATTTCCTCCTTATACCTTAAGTTAAGGTGGGAATGTTCCCCCTTCTTTTACACCTCTTGACCTCCAGCTTCGCCATCCCAACTCGTTTTGACGATCCCCCCCCCACGTCCTAAATATCGTGACACTACGTCGAGCGGTTAAGATTTGTGCCCAACTGTTGACGCACGGACGCACGGACGCACGGCCGGACGGACGCTCGCTCATGCGATTCTACAAGCTGCATCTGACTATGTCAGATGAGCTAAAAAGCAGACACATGAGAAACGCCCAATCAGCTTTCCTACGCGCATTGATGATGCCGCTGAGCACAGATAGATCTCTGAGTTAGGGGCGTCATGATGAGTGCTACCGCCGTGTACACTAGAATTGGTAGACTGTCATGCTAACACTCAATTATACAATCTTTGCCAAAAGAGATTCCCCAATCAGGGCTTCATGACAGCAAATGCTAAAGGTAGCTAGAAGGGGGTAGCTTACTCTGCTATGTCAGGGTTGGAGGCATTGGCAAAGGCCTCGGTCAGATTCTCCAGGCTCATCTGTGAGCCGGCGGCGACCTTTTTCATGCGCGTCGGCAGTGTCTTGTAGTGCCTGAACTTACCCAGTCGCGGCTGCAACACGCACACAGTGTGCACACAATGAGGACACGATTTTCACAGTGGATTACCTTCTATTGACTTTAAACTAACTTGCATTATCGCTGTATTAAGTGAACTAATGCTGACTGAAATATTAACATAATATCGACTAAAATATCGACCAACTTACATTAGCCCTGTATCAGCTCTACATTCAACTTTCATATTGATATTCTCGTGTTTATATTTTCAACTGTTTGTTTTTTAAAAGCTGGGTTATATGGGTTACACCTAACCTGTCTCACATAGAGAAAGTTTCCCGTGTTATACCGCATGTTATTGAAATCACTAGCTAAAGCTACCTTCTTGCCATATTTCGGCTCAATGTGATTTCTCAGCTCATCGAAGCAGGTCTCCATCTTCAGATGAAGTGGCATCATGTTTTCTGTGATCTTCGACTCATGTACCTCAATCCCAGCTTCCAGGTAAGGAATCTGTGCAGACAAACAAATGCAATATAGGCATCTATCATGTTTACATCTCCTACTCATCATCACACCGAATTAATACTACAGTATTAATCATGCAGTCTCACGCTTAAACGAGCACAGAATCAATACCCCAATCTCCCTTACACTCTGAGCTTACAGAACAATGGGAACCATCTAAAATTAGACAATCAAGATTACACACTGACTACGCAGACCGTCTCAATCCATTTAATTTACACAAAGGCACGAAAAACACTCTGTTTGGGTTGAAATCAAGCCAATTTGCGCTAGAAATTACGAGAGGTGACTGAAGCATGTAGCAGCATTGTCGGGAGAGAGGGAGGGGTGAGGTGTTTACCTGCGCAGCAATGAGGTCCTTGAGTTTATGCACTTTGTCTCCATCATCCGGATGCTTCTCCAGGTACTCTGCTGTGAAGAACGCCTGAAACGCACAGACGATATTAATCACAGCTTATAATTATATTACTGCTGACTCACGCACCGCGCCATAGATTTTACATTACGGTTAGAACACACCTGGGAATCGTTACATACCCGCGCTCCGTGAACCTTAGACCCTTCCCCTTCATCGTGACCCCAGCGGCTCCCCACGCGCGTGCGACCCCCCCCATGTCACTCCCCTGAATGCCACTCCCACGCATGCCATCCCCGTACGCGTGCGACCCGCGCCACACTCACGTCCTCGTAGTTGCGGATGCCGCCCATGACGGCAGCGTCGACGATGCCGTTCAGCATCATACTGATTGGGTTGACGGGCAGCGTCATGTCCTGCTGGTGCTGCTTCACCATCTGCCTCAGCTTCGTGTTCGTGTTCTCCATCGTCTCGATCGCATTCTCGAGCGGCGTCACCTCGTGCTGAAATCGACAACCGCGCGTCAGTGAACGCCAGAGGGCGCCTCGGGAGGCCGGCGACGTCTTCGGCGATGCGAGAACCGCACGTCAGTGAACACCAGAGGGCGCCGCGGGAGGCCGGCGACGTCTTCGGCGGGCGCAGCGAGAATCGGGGCGCCACAATGGGGCACGCGATCGCGAGAGAACTGAACGGGAAGCTGGTACAGAGTTTTTGGTTTATGATGTTGATTACTCGATAGTCGCACTACTTATTTACGCGCAGTTCTTGCAAGGCTATACTATATTTGTAGCAAATGTTCTTATAACTTTGATATTTTTTAGAATTAGCAATTAAATTTAAAGTTTAAAAAGAGGTTTGCAATGGTGCACGCTGAGATTTTGTGCTGTAATTTAAGTACAAACAAAGGTGACAATTATTTCCAGCTATCACCAGATAAAGTTAATGTGTCAAATGTCTAAAGTCTTCTTGGCATAACATAATATTTATTTTACATATAGTTAACACACACACGCACGCACGCACACACACATGCACACGCAAACATATATATCTGTGTTTTGGGGACTTAATGGGTTTGAACGACACTCTATATATCAGTTGAACGGAATTGTTTCGAGTGCAACTGCAAGCTCGTGGTAAGACAAGCATGGCACCTGGGTGGACTTCTAGCAATCTATGGATATTGAACAGGTGAAATATCGTCTCCATTTCAAACGAAAATGGGAGAGAAAAAAACAGGCTATTTTAAACATCGGCTGTTTGTCACTATTCAAGGACATGTCATAGAGGTCTTTGCACTATCAACCACAGTCTCTGTCTGTCTGTGTCTGCCTGCTTTCCTGCCTGCCTGCTGCCTGCCTGCTTGCCTGCCTGCCTGCTGCCTGCTGCCTGCCTGTCTGTCTGTCGCTCTCACTCCCTCTGCCATCGCTTTCTCTCTCTCGCTCTCTCATCACCTTCTCAACCAGCGTGCACGCATGGTCCCCGGGTTTGGTGAGATACCCGCCCATAGTTCCGGACACAGAATTTCTCCTCTAGGCAACAGGCCGGTTTCTTGCTCGGCGACAGTAAATTCTGCGGCGGCCGAGTAACCGTGGGTAACCGGTGCGCGTGGGGGCGGGGTGCGCGCGCTGGTGTCGCAACGTCTGCGCGCATTCAAAAGGCGAGCGCATTCCTTCCGCACACCGGCGGGGTAAACACGTGCAACCGCAGCACGCGCGCGAAAATAAGATTTTCTTCTGCATGACAGACGAGAACCTGACTACCGTCCCGGGGGCTGACAAGTTGACAGAGTGACGCGGCCTGACAGGCAGAGCTAGACACTTAATTCTGCAGCAGCGGCATTCCTCGTGCTGCGACGATCATCGCTTATATATATATATATATATATATATATATAATAGGCGAACGTACACACGAGTAGTAGAGTTACGTGCTGACTAAAGGGCAGGACACACTAAGGCGATTAAATCGCCCGATTCTATCGCGCGAGTCGAGTGGACACACTAGGCGATTAAATCGCCGGTGAATAAGTCGTGCATGCATGTGCACGTAGACGTGCGTGCGTGCGTGCGTGCGTGTGTACGTACACGTGCGTGCGTGCGTGCGTGTGCAGGTACACGTTCGTGCGTGCGTGCGTGTGTACGTACACGTGCGCGCGTGCGTGCGTGCGTGTGTGTCCAAGTACACGTGCGTGCGTGCGTGCGTGCGTGCGTGCGTGTGAACGTACACGTGCGTGCCTGCGTGCGTGTGTGCGTGCGTGCGTGTGCACGTTCACCTGCGTGCATGCGTGCGTACGTACGTGCCTGCGTGCATGCGTGCGTGCGTACGTGCCTGCGTGCGTGTGCAGGTACACGTTCGTGCGTGCGTGCGTGGCTGCGTGCGTGCGTGCGTGCGTGTGCAGGTACACGTGTGTGCATGTGTGCGTGCGTGCGTACGTGCGTGTGTGTGCAGGTACACGTGTGTGCATGTGTGCGTGCGTGCGTACGTGCGTGTGTGTGCAGGTACACGTGCGTGCGTGCGTGCGTGCATGCATGTGCACGTAGACGTGCGTGCGTCCATCGCTATTACATGACATGACATATTAAACATGAAACATCGCTATTACGTCAGTATCACTGAACAACTCTGATTGGCTGATGAATTGTACAATCGGGCGATTTTATCGCCGGCCCCAGACACACTAGGCGATTAAATCGGGCGACAAAATCGCCCGATAATATCAAAACGTTTTGATCTATGCGATGAAATCGGGCGACGAAATCGGGCGACTAAATCGGCGGCGATTGAGTGGACACACTAGGCGATTTCACGGCGATTTTGTCGCCCGATTTAATCGCCTAGTGTGTCCGGCCCTTTAACCATTCCAACGACAGCAGCAGCATTCAGCCCAAATTCCACCTAAGCGAAAACAACGCGTAGCCTGCAGTGACATGTGGAATGATGATGCAATCGCGGCTGTTTGTTTCAAACGGGAAACGATGCTAACGTACGTACGGTGATACAACGCGCACGCGTGGTGGTCACAGCATGCCACTACAGATAATCTTACAACGGATTTGTCCAAATTCTGAAAAGTTTCAGCAATGTTCATTCCATTCTCGCCGCTATTGAATGACCCACGATATCTCGTAATTTTACGTTTAGCTCCCAATTTAACTCCTCTCTCATAAAACAAAAAACTCAATAATAAACGTGCATGGTAGTAATATTTGCATCGTCCTTTGATGATTCCCTTTATGTTACATTGTTTAAAACACGATGCAATACATTTAATAGTATAATAGTTGGCATACTATATATGTAACTAGCAAAGTACCCGTCCTTCGGACGGTGGGAATTCATGAATGAGTGTATTAGTGTTGTAGCTCACCTAAGGATCAATGACTTCTTTATAAAGTATGTTTTTGGTGTTCGTGTGCTGTGTGTGAATGAATATCGCCCTGGGTTTGCCTACTTGTGAGAGGGCAACATAGAGCATGCCATGGAAGAAGCCAGGTGTTGGTCAGTCGGCAACCCTGATGTAGTGAAAGTCTATGGTAGTGATGCTCACAGGGTGCGGGAAGATGCTGTGTAATTACTTTAAGAAGTAAAAAAGCAATAGAAAAAGTTGATTTGATGAAGATTTAACAGTGATGGACACTAAATTTACAGAACTTATGGTTAAAAAACAACGTCTGGTAGTGTAGTAAACAGAGTCTGATTTCGCTTGAGTTGTTGTCAGTAAGTTTCGAGTTGAAGCTTTATGCTTGCAGCGAAAAATTTAGCACGTGAAAGTCACGTGAAGTTGGCCATGAGAATAATGGTTTTGGGAGGAAAATCCCCGACCAGCTTTCTTGAAAGTTTGACCTTGCGCTTATTGAAATGGTGTTGCAGTAAGCGAATAGGGAACTGGCGATTAGGCCAAGCGAATAGGGAACTGACGGCGTTTGAAGTGTAAATGATAGCATTGACATCGGATTGGAGGCTAATATTAATCCTGGTATAATGTTTCTTTGTCGCACTCGCGGAGGCCGGTCGAGTATTTCTGGCATGAAGTACGTGTTTGTGAAGTGTATGATTTTGGAGTGTAGTACCATTGCAGCAGTCAATCGTCGAATCATTTAGAATTAGTTTTACAGTGATAGTTTTCTATGAGTTGTTTGTCAGCAGTTTGGATACAGGGCCCAGGTTTTTGCGAGGCGGAGATTTATCACAAAACGTGCTTTTTAGTTTATTGTAATTGCCTGTACTGTCTGGGACATGAGTAACTGAAACTGATTGTTGCGGACGTTGGAATTCATGAATGAGTGTATTAAGTGTTGTCAGCTACCTAAAGAGGAAAGGCTTCTTTGTAAAGCTATGTTTTTGTCTTCCTGTCCTGTGTGTGAATGAAACATCGCCGTGGGTTTTGCCTACTCGTGAGAGGGCAACATAGAGCATGCTGGGAAGAAGACAGGTGCGCTGTTGAGGTCCAAGCCTATGGTAGTGAAAGTCTGTCGTTGAGCTTTGGTTTATGTCAATAGGCATAGGCAAAGGCGGAAATAGGGAATTGCAGTCTTTAAATTGAAATGGAAGAGCTTGATGTTGAAGGGTATGAGTGGTAGCGTGTGGGTGGTTTATTGTAAGAAAAAAATGTTTATTTTGGCATCAGAAGTGTACATAAATACAGAATGCGGATATATTTCACATGAATGACAATTTTTGAGCCTGTGCAGGATATTTAAATCACCGTGGAGACTTAATGCATAAAAAATAAAAATAAAATCTGTTTACGGTTGTGCGACAAACCCCTTCAAGAATAGTTTTTCGGCGTGAAACTTAACCGAACGGGAAGATGTGGTGAGCACAATTGTGTGAGCACAGGCACTTGGAGGCGTTTAATAAAATACAAATGCTAATAATACAATATCTATTAGCTACCAGAAGTGTTATTGTTTCTATACTTGTCTTTGATTCTATTAATTTGCGCCGGTCAAGTTCGTGCAATGCTCATCCTGGCAACGGCTGGCAAACGCTCAGCTGGCAAAGCTGCTGGCCGCTGCAACACGGACACATAAATATATAGTGTTGTCGCTGTGTGCGAAAAAGCCTCATTATGGATTTTGGGATATCCGCACGGAATTGCATGAGGGATTAAAAAAACGTTAGCTACTAAAAATCGCTGTTTCCCCTTTTATTAGTATACATTTTAAATTAAATGTACTTTAATATGATATATTTAGGATGACAGAAAGAAGTTGCGCACACTGCCGTGAAATATATATTTTTTAATTTCGGCGGCTGTCGAGTTTCGAACTCACCAGCCTAACGTATTAGGCAAGCGTGCGTACCACCGCGCCAACAGCGGCCAGCGGCAACGGCGCGTACGTACCATTGGTTAATGATAGTGAGTAGTGACGTCGACGAATAACCGGTATGATATCGGTACACGCAGTGTTAAATAAAACGGCTTGAAAATTCAACTTTATCGTGTTTTCATCGTTGAACAAAGTGGCGGCCTATATTACTCTACGAGTAGTAATGC